AAATTTCGCGAGCGGATGTAGAGTGACGCGGTATATGTAGACCGAAATCCAATACGCGATAAAAGCTGTCGTTCCGAATGCCAGTAGGTGTGACAAGCTGGCACGTTGCAGCAGTGTCAAAAGGCCCATCGTGGCTTCAATCTTTCGTGTTCAATGGGTGCTGAGAGAGGTGAGTTGGGCAACTTGGGCTGGTACCAAACACAAACACGACGGCCCTTTTGTTCATGCATTATGTCAGTAATTTGATCACCGCCAATTAGCAGAGATCAAAAAGTAATTCAGCATGTTCCTTTTAGGTGAGTCCATAATAGGAAACATCCGAAGAATACGTGTTCTGCTGATCGGACAGCCCGGAAATGCCCCCGGGGCCGCCAAGAGAGATCGACAGACGGGGAGATCAGTCTACCGGCATGACTCGTTCCTGGGGTTGCAGGGTCTAGAGAATTAGCTTCTCGTGTTCGGCTGGAAAGTAGTCACTCGGGATTTGACTGGCTTTGAACTTAAGACAACAAACTTAATATTAGAAGATTGCCCGAGAATGTACTTGAACAATTGAGGCATGGAATGTGGCACGTGACCTGCTGGCCCCGGGCCCGCACGTGCGGGGTTGCTTTGTGATTATATAAGAGATAGATGGATCACGTGTTTGCGGTGCGTGTATCACGTGGCTCTCCATTTCTCGCTTGGGTAGTGATACCGGGGCGACCAACCGGTATCAGTACCCGTCCCAGGTACCGGACAGACTGCCTTGTACATGTGTGCAGTACCCCTTACTAGTCCGGCCCACCTGGGTGCTCCAGGGCTCCAGGGCTAGTCCTCGTCTGGAATCACAATTCTCGCCTCTGTTCCTGTTCCCCCTTACCTTTGGAAAGCTTTCTACCTCGCACAAATTCTGGCAGACACCATTGTCTGACTTTCCCGGTCACTGAACTCCATGTTTTTCGTGAATTTCGGAACTTGAAAAGCAATTATTCTACGATTCCTACTCACTAATGCGGATAACAATCCGAGCTTTTTGGTATTACTGTTCTCAACCTCGAACGTCGCGCGCGCAGCCAAAATGTCCATTGCAGTCCTGCCCGTCGAATTGATCTCAAAAATATGTAACCATTTGGATTACCAGCAATTGGTCGCTCTGAGGTTATCATGTCGCGCATTGTACCAAAACTCACTGGAGAATTTTGGGAAGACCTATTTCCGAAAAATTCGTTTCATTGTGACAAGTGAAGGTCTCCACGAACTGGAAGCACTATCCAAGTCAAATGGTCTCCGCGAGCACGTTCAAGAGCTATGGATGATTCCTGTGGTGTTCGATGGCGCTGAAGGGTCCCTCGGCATGATATCTATATCGTCAAAAAGCTGCCGGCAGGTCAAAGGCGACGAGCTGGAAAGCCGGCGTGCTGTCCAAAAAGACATGCTTGCGGACAATCGCAACCTGCTGGAATCAGAAACGTTCAGTCTTCGACTTCGGGAATGTATAGATCGATTCAAGAACATCCAAACAATCGGACTCGCACATTACAGAACGGAATTTTTGCTTGACCCCCGACAGCAGACAGTTCCATTCCTCGGAAGGCGACAGATGATGAGCCGCATCGACTTTCGATTCGATGTTTACAGCCTGCAAGAGTCTACGCGCACCCACCAGGATAGTCAGATACGGAAACTGAACTCCTTGGCGTTATCAAAGCTTTTTCTTGCGTTATGTGGCTCAAGCTGCAGACCCCGAAAGCTATCCACTTGCGATTCTAAATTCTGCTGTGATATCGGCCCCAGGATTGCCCTCTCCGAAGAGCAATTTGATTCTCTACTGTCTACTTTAGAAGACCTCGAGGATCTTCATTTATGCATCGATCTCGATGAGGCGGCTTGGCTGAAGCTTTTCAGGAAGATTGCACCTCAACTGGAAGTACTGACCCTGTCGCAACATCATATGCCTTTTGATCTTGTTCAAGATGACATGCATGCCTATCCGGCTAAAAGCTACGTTGGAAACATGTTCCATGACATTAGCTTCACTCGACTCCGAAACCTTCATATAAAGAAGCTTGATATCGATTTCAGCTCTTTGAGATCACTTTTGCTCAGTGTCAAGAAAGGTCTGGCCACTCTTACAGTCAAACGGGTTAGAATGCGCAGCGAGGAGTCAAGAGCCACAGAAAATCCTCGATCACAAGATGCTGAGTCCCCTGACCGCCAGGAAAATGAAAGATCTGTCCGATATACATCGCCATTATATCAACCCACAGTGCCATCCCACCAACCAACCTCGCCATACGATGAACCTACAGTGCCACCATACCAACCAACCTCGCCATACAATGAACTTACAGTGCCACCATACCAACCAACCTCGCCATACAATGAACCTACCGTGCCACCATACCAACCAACTTCGCCATACGATGGACCTACCGTGCCACCATACCAACCAACTTCGCCATACGATGGACCTTCAGTCCGATTATATCAACCAAACTTGCAATCATATGGACCTACAGTCCCATCATTTCAACCAACACCGCCATCATTTTCAACATCTTCACCGTACAGACCGACTGTATCCCCACAAGAATATGGACCAGCCCCTCTATCAGTCCTACCAGCATCAGAAACAGCATCAGCCGAAAGTGCACCCCAATCACCCCAGCATTCCTCGGCTTCCGATTCCTCTGAGGCGTCGACAGAAGAATATTGGAGCAGAAAGTGGATGTCTACATATCACCCATATGAGCCATCCGAAACAGCTGGAGGTTTTGTCTGTCCCACCCGGGAAACCGTAATGGCATGGAAACGCAACGAAGAAAAGATCACTTCTGTGCCCAGCTTTTTGAAATTTTTACGGAACGAGTTATCTCTAGAAACACTCTCCCTGGAAGATATTATCTGTGACGACAATTATTACGATTTCGAAAGAATCGACAGTGCAGATAAACAAAGGGGCAAAGTGGATTTTGACATTCACAAAGCCAATATTTCGTTGAAGGATTGGATTTCCCGGTTAAGGCCAATTGCTAGCTGCCCGGCCGATCGCATTATTAAGCGCAAGGAAGACAAAGGTTAGTGGTACCTCCCAATTTACACTCTGTAGTTACTGATGGAAGCTAGAAATGGCGGATTGGTTCGACGAGATGATAGGGAAGGACAGCGGCTCATCTACTAGATTAGACTGTGACTGCAAAAGGAACAAGAAGCCGCCCTGGGGATGTCCTTTTGGATGTCATCGATATTAGGAAAATGTCAGCTTGAATTTATCTCAATTATTCGCAGAATTATTGAGCTCTATCATTATATACTAAGAAAAAAGGTTCCAAGTTTACTATCAAGATACGTGAAAGGGACATCAGTCACATGAAACGTTTCCAACCTTGGAACAACTGGAACACTTCGCTTGCTCGTTAGAATGAATAGGCACAGAGATGAATATGCTCTAAGATCAAAACTGGGCCCCGGGGATACCAAATGAGCAGAGATCCTCACAAACGAAGAGGCCCGATGAAGACTTGCTTGCACACGGTGAGTCGGGAAGAGTCCGGGGTTTAGGGCGTTTTTGCTGCCTGATCAGGGTCTTCACACCTCCCGCTACGGAAGTTGCACATCTCCAAATATACACCTAGCCGTCGGTGGTTAGTTCAATGTAGCGCCTGTCGTCTTAGGGAGCCATAAGGATTTCTGCAACTTACCATTGATCCAATATGTGAAAGTATCTGGAGATAATTAGCACGATTCACTAGTCAATATTTCAGAAAAAGAAACTGTACCAGCATTTATGACAGCCAGTGACTGGGTAGCATCAGTTTGAGCGTTGTCTTTTATAGCAAGTGCAACGATCTCTCCCCAGCCATACGCTATATCCGCTAAAGCAATTTAAAGAACCATTCATTAGCAGACCGATATGTTGGAAGTCGTATCGTGGAGTACTTACTTGCACGATAAGCACCAAATTGGGTATGCCCGTGGGTGAATTCATGCGCGAGGAGTCGCTCCGGTGTGTTGTGTATCATGTGATAAAGAAAATCACCGTTTTGCACAACTGCTGCTTTCTTTGCAGGTTGAAACCAGACTTTCGTCTGAAATTGCAACACAGACCACACCCCAGCACAAAATGCCATCCAACTAGGTTGACCCGGAGTGTGAGCGGCTGTTAACGTCACTGCTTCCGCTTGTCCACCGCCGTATCCAGCCGCAAAACCCTTTGGAATCGTACAAAGAGACGTGCTGTTTTTCTGACTGCGAGGACCAGCTGGTAGGGCATTGATCATCCAATATTCTACACATATTAAAGGTCAGATATGGTTCCATGATGATCAACGTTCGAATGAAGGGATATTTCTGGATAATACGCACCTTTTTTGATATGAGAAGGGACGTTAGGGTCGAGGACCCATTCGCTCTCGTCGCAAATGAAATTCCAGATGGCCGTGTTTTGGATCAGACCACTCGCAAAAATAGCAGCCATTTCTAGAATATTTATTTCGTAAGGTTGGAGGCAGTGGCATTTTGTGCTGAATGGGTATTTGTAACCTACGATTCACTCGTATAGCGCGGTCTCTGACTCTTGTCTTTGCAGCGACATCATTCCACTTGAAGGTCCCATAAAGAACCATGAAGAGATCTATCATCCGTCTTTGCTGAGGATGCAGGGTTGGATTGTTGTTGTTCATGTTGTTGTTGATCATGTCGAGTGTCATTTGAGTAGCGAGCTGCAAGAAAAGACCGAGCTCAATACGGTGGCGGCCATGTCCAAACTTTTTCTTTGTTGTGCTGACAGTGGTCTCCACGACTTTTGCCAGGTCTTCAACATCCATAGGAGGCTTGTCTCGCCCTGCGATTGACAACTTATACTTTTTGGCCAAACGTCTAATTACCTAAATTCAGAACCAGGTCAGCCTTGAAGGAGGGGCCAGGCCAGCTAGGAAGTGGTAAAAAGGGCCCTCGTACTCGACGCATCCGACGGTTCATCTGATTTCCAATCTTTTTTGAAGTGGACCTTTCGTAAACTAGCCGAAATACTTTCCAAAACGTATCCAAGGAGCTTTTGCACTTGATTCCTGGAAGCCTTCTCCCATTTTTACCACGTCGTAGATTGAGAGCCCATTCAAGAAAGTTGTATAAAATCGGGATCGATAGGCGGTTGTATTCCTCGTTGGGATCTTTCCGAATGAAACAGCAGAACCTTGGTGATACATTAGTGAGATCAAGAGTCTCCAGTAGAAAGGAAGGGGAAGAATGGAAAGCAGAACTAACTGAGACCATTTTTCCTCAATGCGGTTGAGAAGAGCGGTAGTGCCTTTGCCATAGTCTTCCTGCGTGTAGACCGTCTCATCGAAGTTTTGAAGTTGCTGGATGTAGTACTCTGCTGTGTACTCATTATCGGCGAAGAGTAAGCTCGCATCGCCAGCATTGCATGGTTGATATGCCTCATCTTCAGGTTCTGTCAAATCAGTGTCGGATCCACAGTCTTCAGTGCCTTCTCTCTCGGAATACTCGCTGTCGCTAGATGACTGGCAGCTCGCTTTACGAGAGCGGCGGGTCATGATGCGAAGGGTTGGGGTCGCGGCAGTGCCAAAAAGTCCTTGTTGCAGAAGGTCCTGAAGCAGGGCCTAACCAAGTATAGATAGACAATTGATTTTCAAAGCAGGGTTCGATAAGAACCTCGTTACTGTGACTTTGGGGAGCCTGACTGGAATGAGAGAACAAGAGAACGGCGGAGGGAATTGCTGCCATTTTAAATGACACGATTCTGGAGGAAGTCATTTTCGGCGCCCTTAAAGACTCGAAGTTTGGAAGGCAGGGGGAGGTAGTAAGGAAAGGGGACGGTGGAGTGGGTCAGAGGGCGCGAACCAGGCCGCCGCAGGTCCAAGTGGAAGGGTGCGTGGGTAGAAATGCCGAGGTGGGTGGCAGAACGGTTGGCAGATGGGCGGCCAAAAACGGCCTGAGAAGCGGCCATTTCTGGCCGTCCATTTGCCGTCATCTAGTTTTAAGAAGTTAAAGAAAGTTAGTCGCTACCTACTTTATAACTATCACCTAATATTATACTTAGGAGGAGATAAAGAAGTGGTTCACTAAGCGAAGAAGATAAGATATAATCTAGTGCTAAGGATAGTATAGATAAAGAGGGCGAAATTCCTCTCCCTCGATCGTCTAGAAGAGTTCGGAAGGTTTTAAAAAGGCTTAATAGATATATAGTAGTCTAGTAGATAGGAACTAGGTTTAAGAATATAATATAAGTTTTTATAATAATATATCACCAAAAATTAATATTAAGAAGTTCGGATATATAATTAGGATACTCAAAAATATAGGGCAAATCTATATAAATTATATATATCACGAGATTTGCCTATTTATCTCGTTTAACGACCCTTAGGGTCACCCGCGGGTGACCCTCCGAGGGTCTAACCTCTAGGTGGACTACCCTTAGGGTCGGAAGGTTAGACCCTCGAACCGCCCTAGTGGCGGGGCGGTTCGAGGGTCGTGAGGGTCACCCGCGGGTCACTGCTAGGTCTATCTATAAGTAGTATTTTACTTATAGAAAATGCTAGGTATATACCACTAACTTAGATATATATCTTTAAGCTATTATAGTATGATTTGATAACTTAATAAAAATACTATATAATATGATGTATTTCGATTAAAATTTTATTTTAAGTCGTATTATATGTATACTAGTTTCTTATATACTTAGATATTTTAGTAAAATTTATGGATGTTATAGATTAAAACCGCCATTTTATATAGAGTTGGCAAAATAGGTGTAAATAATAGTTATTTATTATGCAAAGTTAGCGAGTTATACGTCTATTTTAGGTGACTTTATGCAATGGTGGGCATCGTAGGCATGCCCGCCGTGGGTATGCCCGTGGGCCTTGGGCGTTATGGACGGGCACTCGAAAATCCAAATAGCCCAAGGCCCACCGTGGACGGGCGATGTCGCAGTCTACACTCAGTGAGCAAATCAGAGTGCTCAGATGATGATCAGTGAGTGGATCAGGGTGCTCAGGGATGATCAGGTGATGCTCAGTGAGCAGATCACGTTGATTATGTAATAGCCCGTGATCAAGTCAGAATACTCAGGGACGTGCTCAGTTTTACTCAGTGATCAAAAAGCGGCAAGAGGTGAGCACTAAAACGGAAAGGGAAAGGTCTCGAGTGCCAGGCATTATCCGGTACATATGTAAGACAAATCACCCCAAAAATATAATGAACCCACAACCCCAAGACAAAAAGCCAAGATCCAAGACATCAGCCGCGCGCCGGCAAAATATTCACATCAAACTTCTCCGAGTCAGACGCCACTCGACCAACCACACACTGCACACTAGGCAAAACCGCCAACGTCCCCCTCTCAACCGTCCAATGCTGTTCTACTAGATGCGCCATAAAGGTATCCAGGTTGCCATAGACCTGCGTCGACCCATGTGCCATCGCACAGCAAAAGACACAACAAAACGCGCCGCGGGGTGTATTAGGAGCAAAATGCGACCCTGCGTCCCGCTTACAGTACACATGTGATTTAGCCAAGAATCCATATCGATACCGGACACCGCTCGCTTTGTGCGTGCGAACGCTTTCCTCGAACTGCGGATTGCGGTTGGAACTCTTGTGAGCCATGGGTGCTTCGAATGCGCAGTGTGCGCACCGTAGCCACGACTGTTGGGTGTAAAAGCCTGTTCCGGGTTCGGTGTAGATCCTGAATCCCCGGAATCCACTATGCACTTTCCAAGCGCCTTTGCAGAAGCCCAGGTATTTGTTCAATTTGCTGGGTGGCCAGAGGGGTCGGGTTGCATCGGTGCTGCTGTGAGTGGAGGGGTTTGACGGGGTTGAGTCTGTGGAGGCAGTTGAGGCTGCGGAGAGGGAACCGTGGCGGGTTTGCGTCGATGGGGATATAGGCGAGAGGTGCGAGTTTTCTTCTTCTTTCATCCGAGCATGGCTGAAGGTGTCGTCGTCAGAGTCGTCATAGGAGTCTTTCCACGGGTTTCCCGAAACGACGTCGTGGTCGTCGGGTATCGAGTTTATTTGCAAAATGGGTCTTAGCGGCGGGGCCGGTCTAGCATCGAATTCCGGAATCGGGTCTGATGTCGACGGCGACGCTGCGCCGTATCCTCTGGATGGGATGTACCTAGACTCGGGTGCGGACGATGCACTCCCGCGAACTGGGCGGGAACGGAACAAGTCGCCCATAACCAACCCAAAGCTCGAAGATCGTCTGCTCGGTCTTGAGTCCGTGACCGGATACTCTCTCGATGGCCCCAGTGTATCCTGCGTTTGCACCCGGCCTGTTGTGTAACTGGCTGGTGATACAGGATATCCGCCAGAGAGGTACCGCATCTCCGATGGGTGGGATGGCAAGTATCCGTCCGGACTATGGGAGGAATATCCCTGCGGGTTCATCCTGTGATAGTTTGGGTCGATGAACATCGAAAATGACGGCGGAACATGCGATGGCCTCGAGAGACGCTGATACAGTTCTCCCAAAATGGTGATGGTGCGAACGCGGCCCTGGTCGGACTCTATCTGCAACGCATTCAGATCTAGGGTCGTCCCCCGCTCCTGTGCCTCGCGGAGGTGTCTCAGCAACGCCCCCTGCAGTGTGATGATGATATCTTTCATCTGCTCACGGGCGATCGCATCGCCTAACTCCCATCGCTGCCCAAGCTCTTGATGGTGCTGATCAAACCGATACTGAATCTCGGTACGGCCGAGTTTGAGGGACCGTTCTAGTTCTCGAGTGGACTGGCGCTGGTGATATTTATTCTTAATAGCAGTATACATACGCGATCCGTCATTGTAGGCGGAGACGACTGTTTGCCGATTTGGGGTTGTTAATCACATTTATTGATAATAGGACATGGGATGGACTTACTGGCTGCCACACAGGCTACGACCGCAATCACCTCCACCCCCGACATGGTGAGTCAGATGGGATTTGGGATAGATGGGACTGAGGGGTCAAATACGAGCGGTGTGTCTCGGGATCAAAGGATGTAGCAAGGTACTCCGTAGACTGGGGTTTGATATCAAACAAAAGCTTGGAGAAGATAAGAAGGGAAAGAAGAGATGCCCAGCAAAGGGACGTTGGCAAAAGAAAAAGGAGAAAGTCTTCATTGGCCCAAGGCTGTGATGCGGACATACGGACTTGATTGAAATCGACAGGTACTTCTGATAGCAACAGCACAGTCCACCTGGACAGTTCTCGTTGATTGGGCCTTCGGCACATCGGGAAGATGAAATTCTCCGTTATAAGCGAGATGAGGGGGTTTTGACATTTGAGGCTGAAGCCCATACGTAGTATTATCGCCCGGGTAATAATTATCTTGCTGCCTATGAGATGAAAATTAAAAGATCTACATCTTAGCATACAAAGAATATACATAGTGTAAATCAGTGGACATCTACGATGATCGGATCCACCGTCCCCACATCCGATTCTATACGATGCTGGTTGCATGTGGCGTATAATATTGATCCTGTTGGAAATCCTGCGAGGGCTTATTGGAAGAAAAAAAAGTACATTCATGACCAGAAAAGAAGACACCAAGGCCTAACCCAAACCCTAACTACACTATTCTAACCCGTACATCCATAATACAAAACGCTAACTCAAATGCAAGAAAAAGCAAAGAATCCAAACCCCCAATCAACAACAGCGCCCCTTATTACGCGATGCACGCATATTCCTCTCCTGCTCAGCGCCCTCCACATCAACAGCAGCCGCCAAACCCATCCAACTCCTCCTCTTATCACCATGACCAAGCCGGAAACTCCCGGTCCCCTCCACAACGCCAGGACTAAACGGCCCAGCGACCCCATTCGCTATGGAGGCACTACCAATCGACAACGCCAGCTCAGTATCCCTCCGATTGCGCTGTTCAACCAGCTTACGCGTGATAACGCGGAAAACCTCATCGATTCCCTCGCCATCCCGCGCGCTAATCTCATGACAGCAATCCCACCCAATCTCCTGTCCCCAGAATGCCGAACTGCGCTTCGAGTCTGGACTCTGTAGGGCATTTGATGAGAGTGCTGCGGCACTGGCGCTGGCGTTGCTGCCCCCACTAGTACCCCCAAACACAGATGTCCCAAAGCCCAACCCTCCCATGCTTGCGGTTGGGGGTGGGGTGGATGCTTGGGTTGGGTAGAGTTGTTCGGCGACGTATGCGATTGTACGCTCGAAGGGAACACGGCGGCGGGAGGGGTCGTCGGCAACTATGTCGGACTTTGTACCTACGACGTGAATAATGAGGGAGTCTGTGCCGTCGTCGCTGGGTGTGATATTTTTGCGGAGTTCGCGTAGCCAACCGGCCATTTCTTGGAAGCTGTTTTGGTCGGTGATCTGTGCAGATAGTTAGTATCAGTGGTTATGTAGGTTTTATTATGCTGTAGGTTGTAGAGACAAACGCAAACGCAGAGAAAGAGGGGAAAGTGTGGGGATGCACTGACATCATAGCACAGGAGCACTGCTTGAGCTCCTCTATAATAAAGTCTCGACATGCTGCGGAACCTCTCCTGTCCAGCTGTATCCCATATCTGCAATCTGACTATCGTATCGGAGGTTGAATCGAGGACGCGCTTTGTCACGAATGACGCGCCGATGGTTGAAGCCGCTGCGGGGTTGAAGGTGTTTGTACAGTATCTCTCCACAAGGGCAGTCTTTCCCACTCCTAGTGATTAAGGTTAGTTTCTTTAGTTGAGTTTCCAGTATAGACGACATACCCTGTGCTCCAAGCACAACGATCTTTGCTTCAAGACTTGAACTCATGTTTCCCCGAGGTTGAGGAAGCGGGGATCAAGTTTTTGTATTCGCATTATATGTCGGTCAAATTCTTTGACAACATAGAAACAAAGAGATCAAATCAAAGGGATATTTCAAGGAGAAATGAAAGAAAAGGAAACCCGGGCAAAGGTTGCGGGCGGTATCAGCCGATTTCTTGTTCACGGGGTCAACTGCACGTGTGGATAAAAGAAGCTAAAAAAACAGGAAAAGGGTGGAAGGGTTGGATTTCTATAAAATCTGACTAGTTTTATCTTGATATGAGATTTAATGTAAAAGACAAAAAGGCTGCTATATAACTGTCAGCTATTTAATAATTCATTTGGTGATTGGTTTACTCTTGAGGGTTATTATAGCCGTATACTTTTAAATGCGACTATGAATGGTCCCTTGCTCGGGGAATCTATCAGCCTCATGCAAGGCAGCACCCGCATGAGTCACTATTAAAATTTGGAGAGGCAGGTTAAGCGCACATGCAGGGGTAACATTTACATGTACAATTTACATTGGAAAAAGATAAATGGAATGTGTTCTCTAGACTGGTATCATACAAAGCGCATGTGCATAATGCTGATAATTCCCATGCCCGAACCATTTTCCAAGGTCATCAAAAAACAATGCACTTTCAATTCTAAAGTAGGGTGCAGATAGGATCATCCACCGGCATCAGGGCCAAGGTGTCATCCTCCAGGCCAGACCAGGCCAGAAACAATGGGTATATAATGTCAAAAGAAAAAAAAAATAAGAAGAAAAATGAGAATCTGGCGTTCACTCATCCATTGGACAGAGGGAACAGCACAGTCATAACATGTAGGAAATGGCAGCGCACAGCGCTGTCATGCCGGTAACTTGAGAAACCGCTTAGCGGAGCTCATAGAAACGCTGGCGCTCAAGAGAGAGACTTGGAGTTCTCGGTCTCCTCGTGGAAATCCTTGCCATCGCTGGAGTTGCTGCGAGGGGAGCTCTTCTCGCCAGCATTCTCCATATCGCCCTGGCGGCGGCTAGACTCGAAACCATACTCAGCAGCCTTGGCCTCAATCTCCTCGTCGGTGAGCTTGGGCAGCTCGTAGGCAGCCTTGACATAGCTCATATTCTCGCAGTAACCCTTGGCGAAGATGAGATCGATCTCCTCGAGACTGCGACCAGCGGTCTCGGGGTAGAAGAGGATCATAGGGGGGATGAAGATAAAGTTCATCACGGCGAAGAACAGGTAGGTACCCCAGGAGATGCTGTCAATCATAACCGGGGTGATCATGACAACGGTGAAGTTGAACAGCCAGTTGGAGCAGGTCGAGACGGCATTGGCCTTGGCACGGGTACGGAGAGGCGAGATCTCGGCGGGGTACAACCAGGGGAGGGGCAGGATGGAGGCACCGAAGAAGGACATGTAGAGGAACAGACCAAAGACCGCACCCTTGGAAGGTCCGGTCTGATCGGGGATCAAACAAGCGAAGACGATGATCATGGAAACCATCTGGCCGGTCATACCACCGATGAAGAGCTTGCGGCGACCAATCTTCTCAATGAAGAACCAGGAGAAGGTGGCAAAGATGGCGTAGACAATCATGTTGATACCACCGATGAGCATGGACATGAAGTTATCCTGACCGAGAGACTTCTTCAGGAGGACAGGGAGGTAGTAGATCACAGCATTGCAACCAGACAGCTGCTGGGCGATTTGAGAGGAAGAACCGATAAGCATGCGGCGCAAGTGCTGGGTCTTGCCACCAGTGAGGAGATCAGAGTAACCAGCACCCTCGGCAACACCAGCAGCCTCAATGGACTCGAGGACAAGCTGTTTCTGAAGTTGGGTCTCGTGGGAGTCGATTTCGAACCCACCGAGAGCGGCAAGCACATACTCACCCTCTTGCACCTTACCCTTGGAGATGAGGTAGCGAGGTGAGTCGGGCAAGTAGTACATGCCAATGATAATGATGAGACCGAAGACGATCTGGAAGCCAATAGGGAAACGCCAAGTGAGGTCGTCAGGGCCGTAGGAGGCACCGAAGTCAATCCAGTAGGCGATCATTGTACCAATGGCGATGATACCACCTTCGATACAGATGAGAAGACCACGGTTGGAGGAGCGAGAGCACTCGGCCTGGTATGTAGGAATAGTCGAAGTGTTCATTCCGTTACCGATACCAGTGAGAATACGACCGACGAAGAACTGGGCGGTAGCTCCATGGCCCTTGATGGCACAGATTTGAATAATAACACCAATCATCATGACCCAAGCACCGTGAATAATCATAAGACGACGACCGAGCTTGTCACCAGCGAACAAGGCGTACATGGCACCAGCCAGACAACCCAACTCGTAGACGGCAGTCACCAAGGCCTGCATGGTGGAATTGCCATGGGTGATGGGCATGAACCTTCCGAAGGCATCGGAATCAATAATGCCGGACATGACACCCTCTGTGGATGGTTAGCGTTGAATTTGTATAGATCGATTTGTAAACTCACGATCATAACCGAAAAGGAGGAAACCCATAGTAGCGATGGTCGACACCGTCAAACCCAAAGGCCTGCCGGACATCCCAGCATATGTAGGCGCCATGATGAATAGAAGATAACAATATGAGATACCAATCTATATATAAGTCCAAAGAAAGATGAAGTAGTCCCAGTATAAACACGTGGGTATGGAATGAGTGGAATGGAGATATAGAGACACGCGGAGAAAAGAAGAACCCCAGGGGGGATAGGGAGATATTTGAATGTCTTTCTCCAACGGAGATTGACGAATGTGGTAATGAGATTCATTATATTTTTTTCCCCCGTGTCTTCTCCGTACGAGGTTCCGATCAACTTCGGGGGAAAATAATAAAATAAAAATGTAAATAACAGCCACCACCCTCGTAGTTGTGGTTCAACGAATCATGTTGTTTATAGAGTGGAACCCTTTAGCCGAATGCATCAATAATGGCATGTTAAGCATTTCCTAGATCCACCCGGTAGGTTGCGTCCCTGATGATGTCACATCTGAAATTTCTGTTAGTTGAGTCTCATATAATTTCATGATTGGCGTTCCGAAGTCTGGTGGAGATGTGGTAAAGGGGATCCGCCACAACTGACCAAACATAAATCTTTGCAAATGAATTCTGGATCATGTTGAAATGTACCTGGTGCGTGTCTTCTTCGGGTGAGAAAAAAAATAAACGAGATTGCCCCGGAGCAAGGAGACTACGACCAATAATAGAAGGCTTGCCGATATCAAATGGCGTGCATCCCGATCAGCGGGATTGCGCACGCACACGGCAATATGTCAAAAGCGACTGTTAGGTCCCCACGGAGTACATACTACAATATACAACATACATTTTGTACCCGATCTCAAACGGGTGCCGAGTCCAAGCGCCAAGCCACTCCCGTCCTTCTCGGCGCTGGTTGCAAACCGGGGCTCGGGAAGCCGTCTCAATCCCGACTTCTCGGCGACGAGGATTCCGTGAAAGGACTAGCGCCATGCTAAAGGGATCGGAGAAGGATCGGCATTGTGGCTTACTCGACATAGAATGTGCATTTATCCTTGCTTAAAATCTTTGAATATTATAATTTTTTGGGGAATCCATATCTAGTTGTAGGCTGCAGGTAATACAATATAAGGCAGCATATGTGGTACAATGTTGTCGGACCGAAATGAATAAGTGGAATAGTCTAATTTACTAGAATTAAGCAAAGCCAAGAGCCAAGGCGCCTAGGGCCCGCAAGGCTTTTTTCTTTTGCTTGACCGTTACTTCTTTTCAGCCTGAAGCAAAAAAAGATGACACATGAATTGTATTAAAACTTATAAATCTTTTCTTCATTCAAATGATGACCCACGTCATGTCTCGAAGAGATGGACATTCGGCGGAAAAGGGTCGCCTAGTATCCGCAATGATGTCGCTGAACCACTTGCCGGCGTAGTCAAAGTTTTCTCGAACTGCAACTAAGTGGACACGGCCGAAAGAGAAGGGCACAAATTTACACATGGAAAATTCATCTAAATCCGAACGTACTAGATTGGAACTCGTTGCCGTTGAAGCGTAGTAGAAACTACCAGTTCTCTAATTCTCTCCGTGGCAGGTCCATATGTCCATGTCCACAATTCAGGAGACTATGGGTCTCCTTCGGCAAATAATGTATCTCGCTGAACCGCCTTCCTGATCTCGTAGGATTATCTTTATCTCCCCGCCAACAGACCCCGATGAGGGGTTAATTGACAGAGGAACCAAGCATCAGCCGATGTCACAGTGCATGGCCAGTTGAGCACATTGGAGATAAACATCGCTGCCTATGGCATTTGAGGCTCATCCTTAGAGCCTTTGCCCCGTCGGCATCGCCGACCTGTGGACAAATCCCCCGTGGTTGGAAATGCTCGTTATTATTGCCATCTATTATTTTTGATAGGTAATCCAAACAATACCCGTGTATGAGTCCTACTAGCTACAACAGTGTTTGATTGAATGAGTATCGGTGGCGATCACTTTGCGCCCCGGTTCGATCTACACTTCCATGGGCAGATAAAAGAATTCTGCGCCACACGCACATGGTACAACTCGTGGACAGTGCATTTGGCGAACCCCTTCCCCGTACAACGTCAGCGGCAACCACGAGGCAACAAGGGGTTGTGCCACCACCGTGGCGGATTGAGAAATGGCGGAGGCGTGGGAGGTGTGGGAGGGTGGAGATTCGGAAGCGCCGGTAACGCCAGGGAGACGCATACTTTGTAGGGTGAGTGACTGGATGTGCCCGGTGATAATATCTGCATCGATGCTGATAACGAGGTGGCTTGTGCGCCTCACACGCACTGCCAATTTAACCGGCTTTTGTGTGCTTTCTCTTTGAACGTTGAGCTAAAAGCCAAGTTTTGAAGAAGCTTTGTAGGCGATCGACGGTGGCGCTGTCAGCCAAGACCAAGGAAGGATCGTTCTTCCAGATCTACACTACTTTATAATGCGAGTCATGCTGTTCAACTGTTGACTTGCACTAGCGATTAGCTTGGAAGCTTTTTTATATTGCTAAAAGCCTTGGAATCTGTATTTCGATACAATGGTGTTATGATATGGAGTATTTTGTACTTCCAAGGTACATGTATACTCCGATGACGGTGATCATGTGACAGAGTCACATGCCGGTGCCTCAGGCCACTCGCTATTCCTTCCCCAAAACTTCCCCGACATTCCAACTGGGGAATGTAGGGCTGTCAACAGCGATGTGTTCCATTGGCTGTGTTGGCTTATAGATCTTCTAGACGTTTTCTGGATGCAGCATGTCGCACAAAAATAGCATTGGGACAGTGTGAAGGGAACATCCGAGCATGTATACCTAATGCGTCCGTTACTACTGGCTGATAATATGCCCCGGTGGACGTAACCCAGAGGCTCTCACGACGATCCCAACCCCAACTCTTAGATCCATTGGACTTTATCTTAGATATACATCAAATTAACATACGGACTTAAGCAGCATTTGACGTCTCATCCGACGAGTGTTCGAGGTCTCATCCGACGAGTCGGCCGAGAACCTCCCCGCAAGTTTCTCCCCCGGACTCCTTTCTCCCGAGGTCCACTGGATCTTTTTTCCCTTTAATTGCTTCCTCCCTTCTACTCTTCTGCAAACTACACTCTCATATCATTTTCAACATGAGCGAAGGCAAGCTAACCGGCGCGAAGGTCGCCGAGCACAATTCCAAAGACTCTTGCTGGGTCATTGTGCACGGCAAAGCCTACGACGTCACCGAATTCCTCCCGGGTATGTGTTTCTTTACTACTCCCGTTCTCCTCGAATGCGCACTAACACTTCTCAGAACACCCCGGTGGTCAAAAGATCATTCTCAAGTATGCAGGCAAAGATGCGACCGAAGAGTTCGAGCCAATCCACCCACCCGACACCCTGGACAAGTTCCTGGACCAGTCAAAACACTTGGGACCCGTAGACATGTCGACCGTCGAGCAGGAAGAAAAGGCATTCGACCCAGAGGAGGCCGACCGCCAAGAGCGCATTTCCCGCATGCCCTCCCTCGAAGCGTGCTACAACCTGATGGACTTTGAGGCAGTGGCCCGCCAAGTCATGAAGAAGACGGCGTGGGCATACTACTCCAGCGGAGCAGATGATGAAATTGTAAGTTACCATGATATCGACATCAGTACCCCCATGCATCAAATCGCCCAATACTAACCCATAACCAGACAATGCGCGAGAACCACGCAGCCTTCCACAAAATCTGGTTCCGGCCACGAATTCTCGTCGATGTCGAGCACATCGACATGAGCACAACGATGCTCGGTACGAAATGCTCAATCCCATTCTACGTGACTGCCACAGCGCTCGGCAAACTAGGCCACCCAGAAGGCGAAGTGGTGCTCACAAGAGCCGCCCACCAACACAACGTAGTCCAAATGATCCCCACACTAGCCTCATGCTCCTTCGACGAAATCCTCGACGCCAAACAAGGCGACCAAGTGCAATGGCTCCAGCTATACGTCAACAAAGACCGCGAAATCACTCGCAAGATCGTCGAGCACGCCGAAAAGCGCGGCTGCAAGGGTCTCTTCATCACCGTCGACGCGCCCCAACTCGGCCGCCGCGAGAAGGACATGCGCTCCAAGTTCTCCGATCCCGGCTCGAACGTCCAATCCGGCGGCGATAACATCGACCGCTCGCAGGGCGCCGCCCGCGCCATTTCCTCCTTCATCGACCCCGCCCTCTCATGGAAGGACATCCCCTGGTTCAAGTCCATCACAAACATGCCGATCGTGCTGAAGGGCGTGCAGTGCGTTGAGGACGTTCTGCGCGCTGTCGAGGCAGGCTGTGACGGTGTCGTGCTGTCCAACCACGGTGGACGACAGCTCGAGACCGCGCGGTCGGGTATCGAGGTATTGGCCGAGGTGATGCCTGTGCTCCGTGAGCGCGGCTGGGAAAAGCGCATTGAAATCTTCGTTGACGGCGGTGTACGTCGCGCAACTGATATCATCAAGGCGCTTTGTCTGGGCGCCACGGGTATCGGTATTGGCCGGCCTTTCCTGTATGCGATGTCTGCTTATGGGCTTGATGGTGTGGACCGGGCTATGCAGCTGCTCAAGGATGAGATGGAGATGAATATGCGCTTGATTGGAGCCACCAGTGTTGCGGAGCTCAATCCTAGTCTGATTGATACTCGTGGGTTGTTGGGTGGACACTCTGGAGTTGTGCCGTCTGATACCCTTGGACTTGGTGCTTATGATCCGTTGCAGGCGCCGAGGTTCAATGAGAAGCCGAAGCTGTAGTCTTGTTTGCCGCATTTGTTGTTCATTTTTGTTCATGTTGATGCTTGCTGGGCTTGTCCGCGTCAGTCTCCAGGATGGTATCGTCTGGACGTGTAACCATTGAGTTCATATATATCTCTATACCCATGCAATATGTACAAATTATTCTTTTTGAAGAAAAGTGTATTTCTTGCTTGTAGGATTGTAATGATTTTGGAGATGTCTGGAGCTACAACAAGTGATGCCAAGATTACGGATATATATTTTGAAAGCCCATATGGACACTGATCCAACATTGAACAATATTTGAATGTTAATAACCTTAGAAATATCCACGTAATTAGAAGCTTTAATGAGGTACTATTGTTTCAAATCTCAGTTATATTCATGCTCAATCTCGGCATTAGGTTAGTATTAGTACCTGGATCAGACCGTCAACATATATACATTATACAAATTATGATTTTCTCATAGGAGATTACCTGAGAAACAACCTTGGATTTCCCCAGGCTGGGATCAAACGAAAAATGTAAATATCCGAAAAAGAGACGCCATTTTTGACATAGTTAAACCGCTCAGCTTCTATTTACAGTTGCAGTTCACCAAGCGCAAACCACCAAAACATGTAAGGTATTATGAACAAGAAGCAAAAAGCGAACGCTATGCGTACCGAACATACCGGCAGAAGATCACAGGTTAAAAACCCTGGGCGCGTTACCCAGCCGGCCACTATCGCGATACATGCAAGCAGCGTTGACCATCCACCCACCATGAAGGTTCTCCCCACCCCAGATATGAGCCCAAATCACACCTAGGATCCCGTATCCCACGACCCGCGCTGCATCCACCCAAGCAGACAGATCGAACAGATCACGCAGGAAGCCAGCGAGCGAAGAAACGCGGCTTAAACGCGCACGCGAGCGGCGCGAGGCACACAATCTTTCCCAGGCGCGCTGGGCCTCATCCCAGAAGATGGGTTCTTGGCCTGCCGATTCATGGACGTGGCCGAAGACGTGGAGGACAGGACGGACGCGCCATGATTCCGCTAGCAGATTCGGACAGCCTGTGGAGTATACGGGGGACATATCGAGATGGGCTTGGGGTGGGGTATGGGTGACGAGGATGTCTGTTTCTTGGGGGACGGTGCCTGACCAGGCGTCGTGGTGTGGGGGGTATGTGAAGGCATGCTCTGGGCCGAAGGGGACGATGGCTGGGACTTGGGGAGCGCCGTAGATTGTGAGGGAGCGGGAGCGGGAGCTGGTGAGGGGAGTTGTGGACGAGGGTGTTGAGGTGTCGGTGAACGAGAGGGTCACGGCTGAGTGTTGAAGGTAGTGGATGTCGCCCCAGTCGATGCGGGAGGCGCCGTTCAGCTCGTGAATCGAGTGGATGGATGCTGTTGAGGAGGAGACTGCGGCGAAGGAATCCCCCGTAGAAGCTGGGTCTATGCGGTCCTCATCCAGGCGTGACCGCACGTCGAAGTAGCTGTCATGGTTCCCTCCGATGGCAATTTTATATGGGTGGGGAAGGCTTCGGAGCCAGTTGACAGAAGCTTGGATATCGCGCGCGGAGCCGTCGTTGCAGAGGTCGCCGGCGTGGATGAGAAGGTCTCCGTCAGGTATATCTGGCCATTCGAGGGTGTGGGTATCGGAGATGCAGACTACTCGGATTGGTTGAGTGCCTGGCGGAGGGAGTCGAGGAGGTCCGCGCAAACGGAGTAAGATCTGGTGCACTGGGTAGAGTAGGGCTACCAGGGGAGAGGCGATGAAGTAGTCAGGAATAGGGCGGCGGTTGAAGGGGTTCGCCATGGTGAAAGAGTAGCCAAAGGCTAAGGTAAGAGTTCAAAGAGGTGAATCCACCGAGGTAAAGTCAGTTACCCCAAGCGGGGATCGTGACATCAGGACTATAGTCGATCTTTTTTTTTTTTCCAATTTGATATTCGATAGAATAGTTGATAGAATACAGTATTCGTAAGCATAGGGCAAATAAAGAATCGCATAAAAGATCTAAAACATTCAAAACATCCAAAACATCAAAGCAGCTGAAATAGCTGAAACAGCTCCAAAACACAGAGTCAATATCATGTATCATAAGGCTCACCTGACTGTATTGCGTACTTTCTACTTGATATGTTTCTGCAAGTTACGCAAAGTATCAGCGACTTTCGTCCTGAAACCTTTATATTATAGGTTATTTGTTGTCTATCTCAATGCATCGATATTTGCCACCACGACGCTGTGGCTGCTTGCGGAAAACCATCCCATCTCACGATTCCTCTTTTCTCCGAGGTGATCGATCTCTTCTTTTTATTAACTGAGAGTTTGTGATCGGATCGTGGCCCATATTCCCCTTTGACCTCTGCCTTACCCGTTTTTCTCCATCGACACACATCATTTTTTTCTTCCTCAAATTATTCTCATTTATTTGAATATTTCATCTACTATATTCTCCGATTACCGTGTCTTTTACTGTATTTGCAGGTAGCGCCCCCCTCCAACATCCACCGCCTCTAAGTTCCGCTTGAGCCAACCAAAAGCCAAGTGTGCCCCGCCTCTCAGCTTGACCTCCCAAATCTCCACACCATGGAGGGAGTTGATCTCACCAAGGCGATGCTCAACAAGGGCAAACAGATGGCAAACGTCGCTGCTTCAGCTGCCAATGGCAATGGCGGCAAGAAGAGGAGAAAGGGTACCGACTTGAAGCCCATCGTCACCAATGAAGGAAACCCTGCGCCCGGCACAGAATCGTATGTTTGGAAGTGGTCCCTGATGAACTGACTTACTAACTCAGTTCCAATAGAACCGGCGCTCAGAACCCCAAAGCACCTGCATCACGATCATCATCCTCATCGTCTGGCGAAGAACTCGAGGCTACCGCGGAGGAGGAGGACTCCGAAGATTATTGCAAAGGTGGATACCACCCCGTCGCTGTGGGTGAAGCATACAACAATGGTCGCTATATTGTCGTGCGAAAGCTTGGATGGGGTCATTTCTCTACGGTCTGGCTCTCGCGGGATACAACTACCAACAAGCACGTCGCGCTGAAGGTTGTTCGGTCCGCCGCACACTACACTGAAACCGCGATCGACGAAATCAAACTCCTCAACAAAATAGTTCAAGCGAAGCCCTCTCACCCTGGTCGGAAGCATGTGGTTAGTCTGTTGGACTCGTTTGAGCACAAGGGACCGAACGGTGTCCATGTGTGTATGGTCTTTGAGGTCCTGGGCGAGAACCTATTGGGTTTGATCAAGCGGTGGAACCACCGCGGTATTCCCATGCCTCTGGTCAAGCAGATTGCCAAGCAAGTGCTGCTGGGCTTAGATTATCTCCACCGCGAGTGCGGGATCATCCACACGGATCTGAAGCCGGAGAATGTTCTGATCGAGATCGGAGATGTGGAGCAGATCGTCAAGGCGCATGTCAACGAAGAAGCCAATAAAGAAGCCAAGGAGAAAGAGGATAACCGGAATGGACGGAGACGGCGACGCACACTGATCACAGGGAGCCAGCCGCTCCCTAGTCCGCTCAACACCAGCTTTAGTAGCTTCGACTTCAAACATAGCTCTTCCAACTCACACAGCAGCCTCAGCCAGATGGTTAATGAACCTGGAGGTCAGTTCCCCTTTGGTGCCTATATCCCATAACCGTGAGCGGACTGAAACTGACCTAGCATCCACTGCAGAAATGCCCTCTATGAGAGAACTGCTTGGGGTAAAGGAAGAAGACGTGAAGCAGAACCAGCGAGAGAAAACCGCGTACGTTAATACATCTCATTCTAATTCGTCTGATTGGCAAGAACTTGATCTAACAATCTACATACAGTGATCTTCTGGAGCGAGAGGTGTCTGGTATTTCTCTCGATAAAGGCTCTTCGAGTAAACCAGAAGAAGAACTTGACGTCAACATTATTTCTGTCAAGATTGCAGACTTGGGTAATGCTTGCTGGGTCGGCCATCACTTCACCAACGACATTCAAACTCGTCAATACCGCTCCCCCGAAGTCATTCTTGGTTCAAAGTGGGGTGCAAGTACTGATGTGTGGAGTATGGCATGCATGGTGAGTGACATGATCACCACAGCCGAAGCTGAAAAATATACTAACTGTCTAGGTTTTCGAACTCATCACTGGAGACTACCTCTTCGATCCCCAATCAGGGACCAAATATGGCAAGGACGATGATCACATCGCCCAAATCATTGAACTACTCGGTCCCTTCCCCAAGTCACTTTGCATGTCCGGCAAATGGTCCCAAGAAATCTTCAATCGCAAGGGTGAACTGCGAAATATCCACCGACTCCGTCACTGGGCCCTGCCCGATGTCCTGCGAGAAAAGTACCACTACTCCATGGAGGAGAGTATGCGTATCAGTGAACTCCTACTGCCCATGCTTGACCTGTCACCAGAGAAGCGGGCAAACGCTGGTGGCATGGCAGCTCACGAGTGGATAAAGGAGACGCCTGGTATGGATGGGATCGATCTGGGCATTGCCCCTGGCACTCGTGGGGAGGGTATTGATGGCTGGGCTACCGAGGTCAAAAAGCGATGATGGTGATCTTCGTGACCTCTGCCTCTTTGTTCTCTTTCCTTAGCCTAGATGGGGCTATCCCCCGGGTCTTTATTGCGGACATGCCCTTATGGCGATGATGTGAGTTAACGATCTTTTTTCTCTTTCCATTTACGGATTGATGCTGGTTGGTTTATGTCTTTATTTCTTCTTTCTTCAAATCTTCTTTCGTCCTATGCTGGTAGTTGGTTGGATGGGGTGTTTTTCGACAGGCTCGTATTCTTATGCCCTCGCCTTTTTCCCCTGCACGTGGGTCTACCTTTTGTGTCTGGTGCTTTTCCATCTCATATCTCTCCGATAGACTCGTCTTTCTATTTTCCATTGATCATATTCGTGATGGGACCACTCTTTAGTTTCTTGTGTCATCTCTTCCCACTCAGATGTGAAGCCCTGTCCGTCTTCTAGATTCCCTCCACCAGACAAGATATGACTATTTGCTATGTATGGATTCAATCCCCGTACGATTCTTCGAATCACCATTAACGCTCGAATGCAATGCAAGAACATTGGAACACAATGTATGGGTTTTGTAAATGTCTCCACGACGACAGGTGGGTGTTCAACCTCCCCATTCTCATGGCTGCTCACTCGCCCCCTCGCTCGGCAGCTCCCCCGGAAACCATCCATATCGAGAAAAATCAACATACATCTCGCCCATGCTGTCTGTGGTAACCTCCACACCTTCTTGTGCGAGAGCCTCGGCCTGACGCTCCGCACTCCCGGGTCCACTGCTATGGTTGTCAGCCGTGAACACGTATAAAAGTTCATTTCGAGTCTGCATCATATGGTACAATTTGACATGGCGTGAGATTCTGAAGTAGAGAGTAGCTTGGAACAAACGCACCGATGCGAAATCATCCCTTTGGAATTAATCACTCGCTGCCACGGTACGGTGTTCGAATTGAAGTGCGAACCAGACTCCGGCGACGCAAGTACCTTGAGGCAGACCCCGACCTGGCGGGGACGTTGAGCTAATACCAAAGGAAAATGGTTAGTATATCTACAACAACCATATAATTGCATCCATACGTTCACCGAGGAGGCGTGCGATATGACCGTAGGAAGTGACTTTGCCCCGGGGGATCTCTTGGATGGCTCCGTAGACTGCGTTGGCCCACCACTCTGCTTCTTCGGAGCGCGGCATTGTACGGACCTCCAAATATTTTCAACAACAAAATTCGAAGTCTTCCTCTACGTTGCCAAGTCCATAATCAAATAACGTTCATGCCGTGTTGACACAAAGCGCTAGGCGGCGTACAGTTCGGGAAAACATTTCTCCGGATTAATCAATCACTGAGCTTAACCTGCACCTCTACATTTTCACATTCCTCACATACAGCATACCGAAATCATGCCTGGCTCACTCGCCGACTACCTGGCAAAGAACTACCTGACCGCGGACCCTGTCACCGAGCGGCCAAAGAAGAAGCGCAAGAAGACCAAAGCTATCGATACTGCAGGCTCCGGCCTCATCATTGCCGACGATGATCCCCCAGATATTCGCTCATTAGGAAATACGGGGGAAGATGATGAGGATAGACCTTATTTTGACACATCCGCCAAAACTGCAGAGTTCCGCCGCGCAAAGAAGTCAAGCTGGAAGACCATCGGAGGCACGCCCGGCCAAGGCGGAAGTGAACAAGAAGCCGCCGACGCGATTCTTGCCGATGCAGCAGCCGAACGCGCCGCCCAACAAGACCCAGACGACGAAGATGCCCTTATGATCGAAAATGAAGACGATAGCGCTGGGCGCATGGAGTCCGGAGCACGAGGAGGCCTTCAAACAGCCGCTCAAACCGCAGCGATGGTAAAAGCCCAAGAAAAACGGCGCAAAGCCGAAGAAGCACAATACCGCGATCCATCAGCAGTGAATGAAAAGAGCCAAGAAACAATCTACCGTGACGCATCCGGCCGAATCATCAATGTGGCCATGAAACGAGCCGAAGCCCGGCGCGCAGAAGAAGAAAAGCGTGTGAAAGAAGAACAGGCGCGCGAGGCGCTGATGGGAGATGTGCAGCGGCAGCAGCGCGAGGAGCGCAGACGGGACCTACAAGATATCAAGGCCATGCCGCTTGCACGGACGATCGAAGATGAAGAAATGAACGAAGATATGAGGGCCCGCGATCGGTGGAATGATCCCGCTGCCGAGTTTCTTACTGCCCGGCGTGATGCGGGAGCCAGTGTTACGGGACGGCCGCTGTATCGTGGTGCTTTCCAGCCTAATCGGTATGGGATCCGCCCAGG